TCTGTACTTAACAGCTCAAATTTGCTAAACTCTTGTTCCATCTGGGATGCTCTGTTGCTTATAAGAAAAGGGTCATCAATGTATCCGAAGCCATCCATATTTTGGTTCAACTTAGCTCTTCATTTCATCTCTTGTATACAACACTTCCATTTTTACACTCTAAAAACCCCAAACTGTTCAGTGTCCAGCACATGCAACATTGCTTTATGCCTCTTTTCCTTTGTACTTTTTATTTCCTCTGTTTCATTCTTATCTTTCTTCATCTGGCAGAGTTCTCTTCATTCCTTAAAATTGCTTAGAGGTTATCTCCATGAAGCCTCTCTGAATAGTCTCAAAGGATACATGCCTCTCTCTGGTTTTCCCATAGCCCCCATCCAGAACACCTTTTCCACATGATACAATATTGTCTTGAAATTATTTGGTTATACCAATCTTCCCTGACAAATTGGAAGTTCATGGAGGGGTGGAAAAATATCATTGTCTAAAGCCTTCCACATTTAACCACCATTTGGAACACAGCACTAGGTCAATAATGTTGACAGAACTGTGTGTTGAATTTATTTGTATAAATAAAATACATAGGTGAGCAAGTCATATACCTCTATTCCTTAATGATTTGCAGAAGGAGAAGGCCATTGGTGTATCTTAGCCACCCTGAGAATGTACACATCACGAAATACACCTGAGTGAAAAACAAGTATTATGCTGGAAGGGGGAAATGTGTTACATTTAGTTCATGGAAATAGGACGCGTTAAGGCAGCTTATCTTTGGGAAATGACTGTAAAAACAGTTAAGATAGCAGGGAGCTGTCCTTGGTCTTCCAAACATTTTGACCACAAGAATGAGGCAAGTCAAGGACCCAGTTGTAATCCAAAGTATAATATCAGGAGTCTGGCTGAACTACTACGTCTCCATAACTCTTCCTCATATTACTGTCATTATATAAAGGCAAGTCACATGTATACAAAGTAAGCATAAATCAGGGGCTGAGCAACCAGGGGGCTGACAAACCACACCTTTGGAAGAGGTCCAAGTGCAGTTTGGGAGAGATGCTGGAGCAGACATCAGTGCCCCTGCCCAGTTCCCTTGGCATTCACCTCTACCCACAGAACCCTATTTACTGGGAACACCCATAACTCTATGCCTGAGGACATTTACTGCATCACAAGAGCATGGAGCGCCTGTGCACAGAACAAGTCGGAAGTGCCATGGAGTTAGTGGCGCAGAATTAGTCCTCAGCCAGTGATGAACAGGGAGCTGGTGTATAAATACCCCAGATTCCCAATCTCTTGACTAGATAATTCTAAAGTGTGTTGGACACTGCTTCCTACAGTTGTCCACTGAAATTGAGCTCTGGATACCCACAGTAGTAAATGATACTCTATGGCTTCTTTCCCTTCCTTGGCTCACTTCCCCCACTCCTCTTGGGTTTCCAAGACCACATCCTAAATAAATTACTTGCTCTTGAATCCTTATTTTGGGGTTTGCTCTGGGGGGACCCAAATCAGGGTAGGTATGTATGATGGGCAAAGGATGAGTAAAAAGGGATGACTGTGAGGTATAAGCAGAAGTTTCTAGCTGAAGATGTATTTGGCAACTCTAGAATTCATATTACTCCCACTGATATGGTCACCGTCTAAGTAAATAAAATACTGTGGTGAATGTGACATGACTGCCCTATTCTCCAATGCGATGACAGACATGCTACAGAGAGACACAGCATCATCCTTTGTCCATTTTGTACTGAACAGAGTGAAGTTTAAGTTCAAAGGTCCATTTTTCCTTTATGTGTTTTAGGGGACATTGTTTGTGCCCTACCCAGGTCCCCTCATATCACTTGTGCCAGCTCTCCATGCCCATCTCCAGCTTCCGAGAGCTTTCCTGCTAATGGCTTGCACCTATGGCCTTCAGAGATCTGCCCTTTAGCACTGGAGCGAGAGGCCCAGACATGCTTTGGAGGGGGTCTTCCCAGACCCCCGGTGGAGAGCTGTCAAATAAAATACAGAACTCCCAGTTAAATGTGAATTTCAGATAAGCAACGAATAATGTTTAGTATGAAAACATACTAATATTTACATAGCATATAAATGAAAATGATATTTCACAGGGCATACTTTTTAACAAGTTGTTTATCTGAAATTGAGATTTACCTGGGCGTCTACCCTATATCTTTATTGCTCAATCTAGAAACCCTATCCAATGGAATCCACAATCCGTGATGAACTGGTAAAGGAGGGCAATGGTCCAGCTCCTCAAAATGGAAAAACCCAAGATTTTTGTATGTGTCAAGAGACACATCTTATGCTCTAGAATCCCTTGAGGGATCGGGCTGAATTCTCAGATTTAGACCTCATCCGAGAAAGCACAATGCTTAGGTTCTTCCCCTTTATTCTGCTTCCCTTACTCCTGTACTAGTTTCTCCTGGAATCATTTCATTAATAAATTACTCATGAATCCTTGTCTGAGGGTTTGTTTCTGGATGAGCATGACTTCAGACAGATCCCTCACAAATCACACCACATTGCCAACTCATCACAACGTAAAAGGGCTTAGGTCCCACTTCCCTGAAGAGCATTATGTTCATTAACCATAGCTTCCATACATATTCTTTTGAAAAAAAGAAGTCTCCTTTGCCTCATCTGTCAGGTCCCTAGCAACAAGTGAAGAGCCGTGTGCTGTGCTCTCCTGGGAGGCTGCTGGGCCTTGCCTTACCCATTCATACCTTTCCCTGCTTTCAAACTACTGAAAAGAAAGTTAACCAGGCATCTGGCAAAACATCATTTCCACTCTGATATGATAGGAGTTTTAAACAAGAATTCCCAAGCCCAGCTGCTCCAGGAAAAGAGCAATGGACCATGAAGAAACATGCACTGTGCAGGAGAAAGGGGAATTCATTGCTGAGCTGGGTCAGGAAACAGACCAAAGAGACTCACTGGGCCCTTACAGCCTCTTGAGGGAAATTTGCTGTTCCATATTTAAAATGAGTTACAAGGGAGAATGCAATTCTGCTTGTAAAACCTAAGGAGGAAAGGAAGTCTGCCAGCTTTACTACTTAGCTTTGCAGAATTACTGCAGCTTCAAGCAAACAAAAAGGAGCTAATATTTTTTTGGTACTGAGAGTTAGGAAAAGATGGGCTACTTCCTGCCCCAACTTTCCAAGGAATAGTTTTGGGATGATATAACTCATCTCACTGTGGCAGTCCATTAATGAGTCACCGTTATGATAAATGCACATTCTAGGAAAAGAACATTTTGCTCTACTGATCTCCCAAATGGCTTTACTCTCTTTCTTACTGGGAAAACACTGTTCCCAGCATGCTTAAGCCAAAGCACCCCTGACTACTATATCCTGATCTTCTATAAACCATTTCAGGTACTTTCGATTTAAAACATAGCCTGCCTCCTTTCCGTTTACAACAAGAACAAGAAAACCCTAGGTCAATACAACAGTGTTTGGTGAAACATGTCCATGTGGCTTTATAACTTTATGATTATTTATACTCAGCAGTAGATAACACAGAAGAAAAAAAACCCAGGCTGATGGATTCTGGAAGAACAGCAAAGGCACTGTGATATTGGAGAGCATGCCCCTTATTCTTGTTGAGTAACTGTAAGAGACTAATTAATTAATTTAAATGGAATAATTAATTTAAAAGGGAATAATCTGTTGAGTCAGGAGACTTTTTGGTTTTTAACAGAAACTCTTTCCTCTTTAGATACATGTGATTTATATATATCATCCCTCTTAAACACTAGCCTGAAGTCTATGCCAAAATGGCTCCTCCGTGGCGTCCTCAAGAGGCTGGGAAAAAAATAGCAACACTAAGCAAGTTGATTATCATCTCTAAATAATGGTGACCACTGTCTGAGAGTCAGGATTTTAACAACCACAAATGAAAATGAGGTTTTTATATAAAGATTCTGCGGAATATGGCATGGGGCTGCCCCACGGTAAGTCAAAGAAACTATTTCTAGGACAAAAGCGGCCATGGTTTGAATTTTTTTTTATGATAAGGGAAATATATTCACATTCTTGAAAATTTGAAAACTTTAAAACTACTAAATATAGCGATGATCTTTTGAGAGTGGATGATAAATGATTTATGTTATACTTCCTTATCTTGTTTTGTGTTGTTTTACATAAAATGCACTACTTTGCAGCAATGCTGTCGAGAAAAAGAAACTGGTATGGAGAGTCACCACGGGGTAAAAAACCCAATAGTCCTAAGAGGGTCCTCTCTAGGGGAATTTGCTGTTCCATATTCTAAAATGAATTACGCAATTCTGCGTGCATAACCCGAGGAGGCTTTACCAGCTGGATTTGTAGAATTACTGCAGCTCCTTGAAAACGAAAGGGAATTAACATTTGGACAAACCAGTGAAACATGAGGGCACATCTTTTTTCTTGTCACTGCCTTTGATAACACACACACTAATCATGAAAATAAGCCTTGACTTATGCCTTGACAGGATAAAGAAAATCAAGCCTGATGTGAAATGACTATGCTCTCGGCTATCCCTTGCTTTTGCTTTTCTTGACAAGGTGATAACCCTGGGCATAGAAGATTCTCACTTGGCCCCACTGATGACGAGTTACATGGAGATGGAACTAGAAAGAGGTGGAATTTATGGAAATTCTCTGGAGCAATTCAAGTGATCAATTTATTAATAATTTTTAAAAAGCTGCATGTTTTAAAAAATGTGCTTCTTTTTCAGAAGCTTAAATAGTAAAAGATCAGGAAATCATTAAAAAGAACGTATTTTCCCTTTACATCCGCAAACATCAAGTCCCATTCCTACACGTAACACAGATGATTCTGACAGCTGTAACTCCAGAAGGGTTAAGTGCCTTCCATTTCAACTAAAAAACACCCTCCTGGCTTTCATATTATGTTACCAGTTCTCCAAGAAGAAATACTTTACAGGTACCTACAAGCACTGTTTGGATGGAAATACTTATTCTCAGGCTATACCACTGCCCAATCTGTGTGTGCCTTACCTGTCTGAACCAGGGATGGACTTCAAACTCCGAAAGTTTTGGCTGTCTAAGTCCAAGCTGTAGCTCCGCCCACTTTCAGTTTTTGGAGTTATGATTTCTCCTCTGGTTGCTGATCTGAACTTGCTAAGAAGAAATCTGAAATTATATAAACATAGGTACTTAAAAGTAACGTCAGAGAAAAAGCATTTTAAAATATCATTTCAAGAATACCATTTCTAATACTTTCAACAGTAAGTAATTCTTCAATAAAGCGGCCTTGGGGCTGAGACATTCTGGGGATTTCCCAGTGCCTCGGTATTATACCATCAAGGGTAATGGTAGAGGAGGTTATGACATTCTCCCAAGGCCAAGCCACTTGTTGGTAAGCCAGGCCTCTGTCCCTGCTAGGAAAAAGACCGTCAGCTTTGGAACTCACCACTGTCACTTGGGACTAGAGAAACACTGCCTGGGTTGAGCCTGTATGCAGGGATATTAAGACGAGGGAGCTTGTGGGTCATGATCTCATAGTTCGTGGGTTTGAGCCCCGCATCGGGCTCTGTGCTAACAGCTCAGAGCCTGGGGCCTGCTTCAGATTCTGTGTCTCCCTCGCTCTCTGCCCCTCCCCCACTCATGCCCTGACACTCTCTCTTTTAAAAAAAAGACTATGGAGCTTGAACTCACCTTGCTCAGAGAGGGGAGCTTAGAATGATGGATCCTCTGGGACAAACTGCTGGCTTCCTGGCAGGTCCCCTGAGCTTAGAGTGATGTCTGGCACCTACTAGAACCCAATCTATTCTTGTGGCATGAAGGACTAACGCCATGTGGTAGAAACCATCTTTATATCTCTCATGACATTTCTCTCTACAGGAATGATGTCTGAAAATTGGGGTGTCTCATGTGGGATGAAATCTGACTGTATTCCCAGTTTATTAAATTATTTAAGACTTGAGCAAAAATAGCTCTTCGGGACCTGAGATTTGAGTCATGATCCAGGCTACTGAAGGCCCAAGACATGGGGGTTTCCAAATAGACTTTAATAAATAACCAAAGTTATATTCTTCTTGTGACAGCATTGGGAAAAACCGGTTCGTTTACTTTATATTCCAGTTTTCTAGGGGGGAAATATATTCCAAAGGTACTGAGACAATCTTAATAGAACCTGCCAAGATGTCTCTGTTTCAAAGATATATATAGAGTGTCCTGTCAAAGTGTCACAGGCTTCAATCTAACTGGAAAATTCTGGTTTTTGGTGAGAAGAGCACTTAATCTAATGTCAATCTATGCTGCTGTGAGAACCACCTGTTCGTGCCCCCGCATCCATACTTCTACATAAGGTGTCGCGTCCATGTAAGATCACTCCCCCCCACCTTGTGCTTTCCTGGACTCCCGTCTTTCAAGGTCCTCATCCAGTCACACTTACAACGTGATGTCTTTCCCAGTGTCCTCTGTGACCTCCCAACATTGATTATCTAAGCCCCTTGTTTAATATTTACTTAATTATTTGTCGCCTTATGATATCTCTCGTAGTTAATTAACACCGTGTCTTATTTTAGAGAGGCTTTCAGGTAGCTCATATTGTCATCCTACATTTTCCTAAACTTCTTCTATACGTATTAATTTTTCAGGTGTGTACCGTTTCTACCCAACTGTTAAATTCCTTGAAGACAGAACCATCAGATCTCAGTTTTGACTTCCAGCAGGGCTTAGTCCAGCACTATGGCTGCTTTTAGAGTGCACCCAATTCGTTGTGTGGGTAAGTCGCTTACTGTCTCCCAGCTCCAAGTTCATCATTCTATAACCCACAGAGTGAAGCCTGGGCTGGGGTCTGCAAACGACAGCTCCTACAAGCACTTGTGGGCTCTGAGTTACATGTTTAATCAAGCCAATGATTGGTTTTGATGACCCAAGCAACATGCGGGAGGCTATAGCACACAAGCAAAAAAAAAAAAAAAAAAAAAAAAAAAAGCCACAAGGAGCTCACTCACAATTAAGTGTGTGCACGTTTGGGAGGAGGTGGTGTCAGACTGCAGTGTAAGAGTGATACTCAGGCACAAGGCATTGTGGGAGCTCTGATAGGTGACAGATGGATTCAACACAGTAGGAAGGACTAATATGTAGGATGTAGGGTCACCCTAGGCTATCTTTCACATTCATCTCTGCTAATTGATGAAGGCACGGTTAGTCATGGGTGTTTATGTTACATGACATTCAGGTTTCACTCCTACTCACAGTTCCAGATTCTTAAAAAACAAACCAAAACAAAAGCAAAACAGACTTTCTGTAGAGCCAGATAAAGTCTCAGACACTGGCAGTCTCTCACACTGCTTTCTGCTGAGGGAACAAAGCAATGCTACCTAGAAAGAACCATAAAGTGACCTGGTGGATAGCAGAACCTTCACTACCTAAGTCACAACTGCCTGAGAAATGAAGACTAACAAACGCAGAGCCGGGAAGCAGAAGTTTGCTTTCTGGTCCTTTTAGCCTGCATTTTAGGGGCCTCTTTTCTCCCCCAAAGAAGCCCTATTGCGTTTCCTAGGTGCCTCCCCTTCTTATTCTTAGTACTTGAGACATAGATTTTCTGAATTAAGTCACTGAGGTTGCCAAATGTGATTTCTTCCTTAAGGAAGCCCGCATTTTAAACAGGGGACATTATGCTTTAAGCCCAATCAATAAATCTTGGATCTGGACATTTCATGTATCCTAGAGAGTGTTGACATTTTACAACAAAGGCAGTTGTCACCTCTTTAGAGACAAGGCTGGCCCTGACATGAAACCTTCTCCCTAGAAGTAATGAGAGCCGTTTAGTGCAAGGCCAGGTATGTCAAATGAAATATAAAGTTTTACATGTTCAGGTCCAAGGGGACCTTTATTTATTTAAGACGGAAAGTATTTAAAACTGCACCTCCTAAGGGGAATGATAGGAGAATATTGCCTTGGTCAGGTATGTTGACCTTCTCTGGGTCACTGAGGTGACATCGAACTTGAAAAACTAAGGAGTCTTTATTTCAGAAGTTTCTGGAATGAAGATCAAATATGCCCTTGGAAAAGCGTGCCTTACCCCTTTTTCCTGGGTCCATCATGACTGGCCTTTTGCCCTGCAGAAGGTGAAGTGTCTGCCTTTTCTGCGTCCTGGCGGGATTGCTCTTGACTTTGGATTTCTTCAGTTCCTCATTAAAAACAATCAGAAGACAAATTTACATGCAAGATCGCCAGACATGAGAGCACGTTTCTATCCTTCATTCACGTTCCTACGTTAGCAGAGGACAAAGAAGTCTATAATAATTGGCAATGACATTCCCATCCTGTTTCCGAGTCACACAGTTATTTCTAATCTGCTGAGTGTTCCAGAGTTAAATGAAGACTAAGATGAGCACTCATCCGTGGGAGGCTTGCTGAGATAAGCTTTCTAGGGATGTCTACAGTGGGGGAATGATACATCATGCCTCTACAGATATTTTTAGGGCAGAGGAGCCTGGGTTCATGAGAACTTCAAATCCCTAAAGACGGGATGATAGAAATACCACCCTGATTTCTGAGCACATAAACCAGATTTCCTGCGAGGAAGAGCAGCTGTGTGTACACCCCATGACTTGAGAGAGAGTCTACACTCTGAAAGGTGCGGAGTGGGGAACACAGCCAGAGCTAATTGCTTAATTCTAACTACTCCATTCTGTCCCCTGGTGGCATTAGGCCTGATCTTACCCATCTGGGAAAGCCCTTCCTCGCTAGTGCCACATGCAGAAGTGACACTGGAATCAGTTCCAAGCCTCCAAGCTTTACCTGCCAGACTTAAAAACAAGGGCATTTGTCTGTGTATATGAAACACAAGACACCCTAGGAGCAAGCCAGACGATGCCTGCTCCGCCTTCACTATGCCATACAGGAGAAATATGCTCCTAAACACAAGTTCACTCAATATTTAACCAGTTAAATTGTAGTCCAAATACAGAGAATAGCATTCTCAAAGTGGGGTGTTATTTGCATTTGGTGACAGTATAATCCTTCATTGAATGAAAGGGTCCTGAGCATTTCAGGACATTTAGCATCTCTGGACCTTGCCCACTACAAGCTATTAATCCCACCTCAGTCACTGCGACAACCAGAAACGCCCCCCTTGTATTTCTAAAAGTTCCCCTGGCTTGAGGGAAGAGGGCCTGGTACACAACATCACCCCTTGGTTGAGAACCACTGGATTCGTAAAGGGAACATTTAAAAGCAATTTTATGGAAATGCATCATGTTGAAAAATCAAGGATTGCTTTCACAACATGAATCATTTAATTCATCTGTTTTATGTTTACTGTCTTAAATGTTTAGTAAAATATTGGAAGCGCATTCAGGAAAAGAACTATTTGTGATGAAGATAAATACTTTCTTTGACTATCTCAGCCTGTCAGCTATACAGAAAAATCACCGCGGATTTTCTGTTCTACTGATGTCCTCTTGCCTTGTATGAATTACAGATTTACATTTCATGCTGAGTTTTGCCATGACCTAAGGGATTTAGGAGATTCAACTATGTTTATCTGCAACATATACAGGGAAATTATTTAGCCCATAAAAATAAAAATTAAAACAGTTTTGAGGCCAAGTAAGTGCTTTAGTTACCTGGACTTCTTCTTAAGATGGACTGTCGGACTACATCAGTGCCCAGAACATTGACCTGCTTAAAACGCTTTGCCTTTTCTTCAAAAAACCATTCACCAGTTACAATTCTTAGCTGCCTACTCAAGAGAAAAGGAGAGAGCATTGAAATTCAGTTTTTTAGCCAAATAATTAACTCTCAAAAATCCCTAATTGAGTAAAATATAGCCAGTCATTTACAGAATCGATCTCAATATCTAGAGTATTTTATGGTGATTATAATGGCAACTGTTAGTTGAATGTATACTATATACTGGGTACTTTCTAATTGCTCTTCATACTTCATATATTTTTATTCACATAACAACTCTATGTAAATATTATTACCCTCATTTTATAGATGAGTAAATTGACACTTAGAGCAATAAAATGACATGTCTCCTATCACATAGCTAATAAGTAACAGGGCCAGGATCCCATTCCAAGCAGTCTAGTCTAGGGCTCAAGTTCTTAACCATCGCATGAGAGGGCAAATAATCTTCAACGGAAACAATGGGGGATGAGGGAAGGTTTGGAATTACAAAAGGGCCACAATTAGACTCTGTTTTAGAATGATACCGTGATGTACTATGATGATTGGCTTAGAGTAAAGAGCAAGTGAGGAACAAGGCAGGTTGGCAAAGGCAATAGTCCCAGGAGAGAGATGAGAAGAGCCGTGCTGGGGCAATGGCAAGACTAAGAGAAATGAAGAGATAAATTAAAAATGTAGGAGGTAGAAAGGTCTGCCTGGATTTCACAACCAAGTGAATGCTAAAGGTGGAAAAGAAGAATCTTTGAACAATCAAACGCATTTTTTTTAAAGCTCCACCTACAGTGATAACACAAAACTGTTTACTCCAGTTACAAAGGTTATTTACCATTCTCTGAACATGTATTACAGAGGTGTTGGTAAAGAAGTGTTCAACTACTATGGTCTGAACACTTCTACAGAGGACTGTACTGGAATGAAGGTTGAAAAGTAGCATTCGGTCATATAATGAAAATCTCTGAATGTTATGGAAAGGAGCTAGAATGAACTCTTCGTTTTTCTAAAGTTCTGGTTGGATTATATAATCTCTGGAGCATCATGTAGACAAAGGAGAAACCAGAGCGAGGCCAATTAGGAACTTACTACAATAGATGGAACAGGAAATGGTGAAGATGTGTATCAGTGATGATAAGAAAGATACAGGGTGAAAAGAAAGATACACACTCTTGGGCCACTGAGAGTGATAATCAGCAAATTGGTGACAAGTCAGTCACAGTGGCTGGAGAAAAGCAGCTGAGAGTCAACTTGAGATTTCTAGCCCCAAGAATCATATACATGTTATTCAGTAAATTGACTTAGAAATTAATAACTGGATCCTAAATTTAAAAAATCACTCCAGAAAAATGTGTCAATATATTCCCCACAGCAACTACACTGAAATGCTACTTCTGAATATAAAAGACAAAATTAAATATTATATGAAACACAGTTCCACTACTGGAGAAAAAATTGAAAATGTTATCCTTGGAGCAAGTTATTCATTGAAAGGAAAGACTATATATAGCACGTAAATCTCAGATTTACTCCCAAGTAGCTAAATCGCCTGTTGAGAAGCAAGGGCTCCTGGATTAGTTACAAACTACATAGGATATATTAATGGAATATATCAAATCTAAGAAGATCTAATCAACCAAAACCAAATGCTTGAATGGGTTAAACTATTTCTGGATACATCTCAAGATTCCACAGCCTTATGTATCATTACTTACGTTGGAAATATAGGTGCTAATTGTGCTATTCTGAATTCTAAAGATAACTCTTCACGGTTCCTGTCCTTTAGTTATTCAGCCAAATGCTAATGTAGGTACTGCTATGACTGAACTCTGCTAATGGAATTGAAGTTACTAAGCAGCTGACCTTAAAATAGGGAGATTGCGCTAGGTTATCTAGGTGAACCTGAAGTAATCAGAGAGCCCTTAAAAACAGGAAGAGGAGGAGCAAGTCAGATCTGCAATGCTGCAATGCTACAGAACGGGAAGTCAGATTCCAAATGTGAGAAAGACTTGACACATTAAGAAGGCTCTGAGATATAAATGTTCACATGCAAGGGCCACAGAGAGAGGGTTCTTGGAGCAAAGGCTGCCTCTCCGCAAACAGCAAAGAAGGAAATAGGAGCCGCATTCCTATGGCCATAAGGGATCAGATTCTGCCTACCAAAGTGAACTTGGAAGTGAAATCTTTCCAAAGCCTTCCAATAGGAGCTTAGCTAGCAACACCTTGATTTTAGCCTTGTGAACCCTGAGTAGAGGAAGAGACCAAGTCAAGCCAGATTTCTGAGCTACAGAACTGGGAGATAATATATTTACACTGTTTTAAACTGTGAAATTTGTTATGATGGCAATAGAAAAGTAAAACAATAATTAAACACAGAAATATATTTGTTTGCATATTCAACTCAGGAAATCAGGGCAGCTGGGTGGCTGAGCTGGTTAAGCATCCAACTCTTGATTCTGACTCAGGTCATGATCCCAGGACTCATGGGTTCAAGCCCTGCATCAGGCTCTGTGCTGACAGTGTGGAGCCTGCTTGGGAGTCTCTCCCTCTCTCTGTGCCTCTCCTGCACTTGTGCTCTCCCTCTCTCCCTCAAAATAAATAAATAAACATTAAAAAATTCAACTCAGGAAATGACTTGCACAGGTTATGAGAAAATAACTACAGAAACTTCAGAAGACCAAACATGGGCAGAGGTTAGCAAATAATGGGGTGTGGGCAAAATTTACCACACTGCCTATTTTGTATGGATTAGGAGCTAGGAATGGTGTTTACACTTTTTAATGGTTAAAAAAATCAAAAGAAAAATATTTCATGACACATAAAATTAAATGAATTATATTCAAAATTCAGTGTCCATGAGTTAAGTTTTATCGGAATACAGCCATGCTCATTTGTTTACATAGTCTCTGACCCCTTTTCTACTGTAAGTGCATAGTTGAATAGTTTTAGCAGAGACCACATAGCCTTCAAAATCCACAATATTTACTCTCAGGAATTTTATGTTTTAAAAATTTGACAACCTCTTCAATAGGACAGGGTTTACCCAAAAAGAAAGAACAAGGGAAATAATATAGGTCAGCAGTTGAAAACCACCCAGTAGCTGCATACCTAAATCTCCCCCGTGTGTGTGTGTGTGTGTGTGTGTGTGTGTGTGTGTGTGTGTGTTTTAATGTTCCTGGGATATGGGGTGGGGTGGATAGCATGCCAACAGCAGTTTTATATGTGACAGGTAAAATGGGACACAACCACTCTATAGGCTCCAGGAAATGGTCCTCCACATCATCTTTACCACATATGCCTAGAGCTGCCAACACCTAATACAAATAAAGTCTTCCCAGAATTGTTAGTCACTACCTCTTGCTCTCCTTGTAAAAACAGTAACTATAATCCCTGTATTTGCTCAACTCAGATATGCATTTGAATCATTTGTCATTTCAGAGCTCTGCTACATCAGAGCCATCTCTTGGGATTATGCTTCTGCCACCTTCTCAGGTCCTAGAGGTACATGGGGGTCTTGTTGGAAGAAAGGGAAACTAACACCTAGTGAGCGTACACCATGTACCAAGTAATGTGCTAGGCACTTTATATATAGCTCTAATCCTCACTATAAGCCATAAAGTAGCTATCATTAGTCTCTATTTCAGATGAGGAAACCAAAGCTCCCAAAGGTTAAATAACATACCAATGTTAAAAAGGTATTATGGCAGAAACAAGATTTATACGGAAAGCTCATACCCTTTGCATTTGGCTAAATTGTCAAAAAAAAAAAAAAAAAAAAGAACTCATAGCTGTCAGCTGTAACAAGGCTTTAAGTAAAGATGCAAACTTAATAAAAGCCAAGGAACAATATGCAGCATTTCATAGGATGGGCTATGACTACACGTGTGTATACATACACATCCACACATGTGCATTGGGGGTAGAGTGATAGGAATGAAGGAGGGGTGAAAGAGGAGAGAAAATAAACATGACACCCACTGTGAAATTTATATCCCTATCAGTCACATCCATCTACTACTAGAAAAATACAAAGCTTGGTATATATTTGGTGTTTCCTCTAAGTCATGCTCTAAAAAATGAGTTTGACTGAAACTAAGTGAGTTACACTCATTATTTGTTATTAGTGATTACTTAGAATTTTCTAGGCCCTAATTTTCTTTAACGTTGAACTCTTGGGACTTCAAACTTTCACTTAGAAATTTATGTAAGTGTAAAGTCAAGATAAGTTCTCCTAAGATTTATAGAGGGAAAATAGGTAATCTTATCCTAAAAAAAAAAAAAAAAAAAAAAAGAATATGACCAAAATATTCGTTTTCCTTGTTATCTTCTATTAACTACTGGAGACATCTGAGATATGTTCATTAGATATGCTGAGATAAGATAAGGGTTTCCTTATTATTCATAAGAAAGCTAATTAGATTTACAAATTTATTCATTACACATCAAATATTTATTGTATTTTTACTTAGCCTTCTGCTAAGGCTAGGAGTAAAGATGCAAAGGACTGTGGCCTTACAGAGATGATGAGCTATATTTATTCCTTTCTAAATACAAAAATTAATAAACAAATCCCGGACACCTTATGGTAAAACTGCAGAATCTTCAAGAAAAAAAGAACATCTTACAAACAGAAAGGGAAAATTCCCCAAATTACATACTAAGGATGACAATTAGAATGACAGTTGACTTCCAATAGTAGTACTGAAATCCAGAACCCAGTCAATGATATCTTCAAGGTTCTGACAGAAAATAACCCTAAAATTGCATATACAGAAAACCATTGTTCAGGAATGAGGTGAAATAAAAAAAATTTTTCAGCAAAATAAAGGCTGAAATAATTTATCATCAACAGTTTCACTAAAGAAACTTCTAAAGATTGTACTTCAGAAGAGGTAAATTAGATCTGAGATCTAAAAAGAAACAATGATAAATCTAATTAGTAAAACATGTGGATAAATCTAAGAAACACTGATATATAAACAATTATAATACCTGAAACGAATTTTGAAAATATATGTCTAAACAAACAAACAAAACAGCAAGAAAACAAAATGATAT